AAGGCAGCAATGTACTTCTTAGACCAACTTCTAACAGGTTTTGATGAAGATAGGAACTTAGAGAATGCTAGTCAAGTTGTTTCCCTGGGAGGATTGAGCTTCTTGGCAAGGGCCTTTGAAGTAGGAGACGTTATCGAGAGAAATCATGCTGCTACGCTCATGTTATGTTGCATTCGAGCTAATGGGAGCTGTCGGAACTACTTAGCTGACAATTTGAACAAGACTTCTCTCCTTGAGCTCATTGTTCTTGGTATCCAGAAGAAGTACAATGGGTGTGCATTCAATTTACTAGCGGAGCTACTGTGCCTGAGTAGGTATGAATTTTCTAGTTTCACTTCTGTAAAACATGTTTAGTAAGCTTACTATTCAATTTGTATTCTGATTAATCTGAGGAAATGTGAGCAGAAGAACACGGATCGTTAAATTTTTAACGGAACTCAATAATGGATGGGGTGGCTTGAACACCATGCACATCTTTCTAGTCTATCTCCAGAGATCTTCGCCTGAAGAACGCCCGCTGGTTGCGGCAGTTCTCTTACAGCTTGAGCTTCTGGTAAGTCCATTTGTAAGTAAGCTAATGGTCCTTTTTTGGTGCTGAGACCAAAATACTAGTTTATAACAGTTTGGATTCAAAATCTTGAACAATAAGTAGCAGTGATGTTGCAGGGAGATCTTTCGAAGTCCAGTTTGTATAGGGAAGAAGCAGTTGAGGCAATCACAGAATCTTTAGATTGCCCCAGCACAAAGGTTCAAGAACAATCCTCAAAAGCTCTCTTGATGTTGGGAGGCTGTTTTTCTTTCAATGGAGAGGCTACCGCAGAAGAATGGCTTTTACAACAAGCAGGCTTCCATGAGAGATTACGAGGATCATTTCGACGAAAGGAAATAGTTGATGGGAACTTGGTAAGCTTTAATATAGCAACATACCAGCAAAAGAAATTCACTTTTAGAAAAAGTTCAAGTCTGAAGAAAAATTAGTACAAGGGAGGAGTGGTTCTTCTGGTGCTGCATTTTGTAATTTGTCACATTAGTCTTTTAACAAATGAGGTAGCAGTAGTTTGGTGACAAAAAGAAATTTATACTCTCCTGTATAATGATTGCTTTTGTTATTTGAATGGCCCATCTAGAATGAAGAGGAAGATGCGATGGAAGATTGGCAAAGGAAAGTAGCAGTAGTCTTGCTCAACAGTGGCAGCAAGAGTTTTTTGGCTGCCCTTTCGAATTCCATTGCCAATGGCATCCCAAGTTTAGTGCAATCAAGCCTCTTCACTGTTGCATGGATGAGCAGAATCCTGCTTCCAGTAACAAATGAAAATTCAATCTCAAAATTCCAGCCGCAACTGCTAGAATTACCACATTATGACAAAGCTCTAATTGAAAGAGTGAGTCAATCTTTTTCACCACAGCATCTCATAAAAAGTTCAGGTATGATGTTCTTGATCATTGATTTTTGTGTGAAAAGTATATAAAAGGTGTTTTATCTTCTGTTTTCTCGCCAAAAAAAGCAGGCAAATTAGTCAAGATTCTTCAAAACCTAAGAAGAAAACATGGGATTTATGCAAAATAAAGATGAGCTTAAAGGGATTATTTTAGCTCTAGCATGTCTGCAAATGAGTTTAAACCTGTCATATCTGAGAATTGATATATTTTAGGAGGTTATCTCACTCCATAACCTATCATTATCTGTTGACAGAATATCTCTCAATGCTTTCAACATTGAATAAAGAGTTGATAGATACTCTTCGAAATCCTTTGTGACTTGGATAACTTATCAGCCTATCTTGTCAACCAACACAAGCAATTACAGTAATCAAGAAGTGCAAGCACAACGTTGAAGATTTTCCTATTGTGCGACGTCACAAAGTGGGAGGTTAGAGCTTTTGTTCCTCAAGAGGAGTTTGTTACATGTTCTTCTTCTCGTCTTGCCAATTTTATACACTTTCTTGGTTTCTGAATGCATGTATACTGCATAGGAATAGTTCCAGTGTGAGGTCTCCCTTCACTTTCATTGATTTTGTAAAAAGCTATATCTCAATATTGAATTAGATTTCTCCAATTCTCAGAAAAGCTTTAGATTTGAAGAGATAACATTCTTCTGTATGCACCTCATTAGCCTCAAAAGACTTGGCTGGGAATTTCACGTTGAACATTATCCCTGCATCTTTCCAACTCACACACACATGCGATGGTCACCATCTAGAGTCCCATTGCAGCTTACAGTTGTCTCCACTGGCCAAGCCTACCTGTCACTCCACACTCCTACTGTCTCAGGTTTTAAATTTTCTCATTAAACTTTGTGCGGGTGTCTTTCTCAACTATGTGATGCCCATGTTCCCTACATATTTGAATTCTACTGATACCTCCTAAAAACAGCAAATTTTATTGTTCTGGTCTTGCAGTTCCCTATGGTGAAAAGAGGGCATGAAATTCCAAGAAAAAAATACAGTATGAGCGGCAATTAACTGAAAGAATGTATGTCCTATCCAGTTATATTGTCTTCTTCTTGTTCTTGGGGTCCCCCCCCCCCCCTCTCCCGCGTCTGCAGAAAATGTTAAGCTATGGTCCCAGTTCCACATGAATGACACTATTACTCTACCTAATGGAACAAAAACACAACATTCCACATTAATTTGAGCCATGGAGTCCCAGTTCCACATGAATGACACTATTACTCTACCTAATAGAACAAAAACACAACATTCCACATTAATTTATACCATAGAGTCATGAGTAATCCAAATTTCCAGGAATCTTAAAAAAGGACCACAGCTGAAAAAATCCAATGTACCAAACGTGAAGGTAAGGCATCTATGTAAGAGTAGATTCTTACAAGATTGTACATGCATGTAGTTCCATAACTCCAAGCCCTAATGTCTTCTAATACTTTCAAATCCAATCATCTTGATTAAGAAATCATAAGTGCATGGATGCCATAGAATTATCTATTGCAGCAAAAGAAGACCTATGACTGACATGACAAAAGCATTGATTTGGCATCAATATATTAAAACATCCCAAAAGGCATTAATTTCGTGTCTTTTAAGCAGTTGAAGAGTACCAGTTTTGTACAAGATTATAAAGCAATGATTAGAGAACTTTCATGAAAATTCAAAGCATTTGCTCCCATAGTTATAGATCCAAAAATGTCTAGCTCCTAACTACGATTAGCTACAGAGATACTTGGGATTATAGTTAACCTGACAAATCACTCTAGATAGTCTTTGCCAGTGACATTGCCTGAGAGAAATGACAGTTCTGAATCTTGTTTTTATTTTTCAGACATCTGAGAGTATTTTACAACAAGCCTGTCAAACATAAAAAAGGAGCATAGTTTGAATTCAAAACTAACAATCACAACTTCCATGCAGTCTTACAGAAAAGGGTTTGTATCTCCATGCCTACCATGAGAAGAGAAGGACGTTACCACTCCATCGCCTCTCAAATAAAAAAAAAAACATGACATCTTAGTTGGAGTTTGATTGTTGTTGTGATTTAAAAAAAATATTTTTTTATTTTAAATTATTGTTTTTTATTTTAATGTGCTAGTGTCAAAATGAATTTTAAAAATAAAAAAAATATTTTAATATATCTCTAAATTAAAAAAAAATTAAAAAAATTAATTTTATAATAACAAATATACTCTTAATTTTAGTTGATATAAAAGCCAACTCAGGAATTTCCTTGTGATCGAAAAAATAAAACCAATATCATGAAATAAAAAGATAAAATATAGACTACGAGGGCTACACGAAACACCCTCCCAATCCTTCAGTGGATTAGATCTTTCTTAACTAGTAAGGATTCAACTACTTTATTTCATCTTTAAAGTACATAGAAAACACAAAAATCAAATTAATATTGTTTATCTATGTGTATACCTATTAAACTTGATTTGAGAATCTACTAGACATAAATTTTGAGTAATAAATTTAATATATTAACTTAATTTTTTCAAAAATATTATTTTGAAAAAAACATAAGTTCTTATTTTAAAAAAATTAACAGATTTTAATCCGGCCATCAATATTTTTCAATTAAGATAAAAGTATCTATCCTATTAAATTAAATTGTTATTTATTTAATATTTTTATTAAAATCTCAAACTCCTAAAAAATTAAGTCATAAATTAAAATAAAATGCAATCTTTATATTCAAATCATTGAAAGCTGTAGAATTCATGAAAGACAACCAAAAAAAAAAAAAAAGAGGGAAAAAAACAAAAATACTAACTTGGACAACACTGATACGTTATGCTGTCATTGACATCATACCGACCCCAAAGTTTTGGTTTTGTACATCTAGAAAGCAATCTCTCATTGCTTTAGGATAATGTTTTGAAATAGAAAAATTAGAGGTAATAAAAACAAAAATATATGGGTTGAAAAGATTAAAAAAAAGATATAAATAAATTTATTTTTAAAATATTTTTTTATATTATTCAAAATAAGAAATACAGAAACATTTATCATTTATCTTTATTTTTTGTTTTTCCTTTTCCAAAATAGTAACCAAACACTTCGAGATAACATCTGTCGTTAAGATACAAATGATGAAATGCTAATTAACGGTGGAAAGGCCAGATTATCATAATCTGAAAATGTGTAATAAATGTCATTTCAGATGCTTCCAGGATGAGCTGGCAATCGACCTGTAATGCCATGCACGTTAAAGTTAACGGTGTCATTATAGATACAGGTTGCCCAATTCTGACTGATAGGTTGGTAATTTTTATCCTCGCTGCTAACATGTAATTGTTCATCACCTTCGTAAAACAAATTTTGGGTTTCTAGCAGTGTTCTTCAGTGACAGAGGACCTGGATCCCAACAAAAACATACCATGTGAGTAGCAAGGGAAAGAATGTCCTCCCAGAGGACTGAATACCAAAATTATTTGAGTTCAATCTATTTGTTTGCACCAAATCTATCTAATTTCTTTGAAACTCCAGGCATAGGTATCAGGGAAAATCACACAGGGACTAGCAGTAAGGTATAACTGATAAGAAACAAAGGATCAATCACCGAGGCATCTGAGCAGCATCAAAAGGAACGTAGTTTCAAATTCGAAACCAGCAACAATGTCAAGAACTGTAGTGCCATCAAACATCTTAACGCACATGAAGCTTAGTAATAGCAACCAAGATACGATGAGAAAACACACAGAAAACGAACCTTCCAAACGGAAAACAAACCTAAATGACATGTCATTCCTCCAATTCCCATAGTCTGTGGAACCATGGGAAATACAGAGGAGTTTCCAGATAGTTAGATTCACGCACAAACTCCACTACTTGATTTGCCTAGTAAAGGTCCAAGCTCGTGTAACATCATTTCCAAAAAAGAGAATCGTTGGCTATCTCCTTCACTGCCAAAAGAGATGGAGACTTGCCTGTAGATTTTCAAACAAAAAACATGATGTTTTCCAGGTCTGCATGCAGCGTAAAGAACCTCTCTTCCAGCGAAGCTGCTGTTGAAAGTGATGATGGAGTCCTTGAAGATGATGAAGATGGAGACTGCCCTTCCATTACTGCCTCATGGTAAAGCCTTCCTCTATAAGCAACAAGGTCAGCATAGTAGACTGGTGGGACTAATGACACAGGTTTTGTGCAACGAGCAAATGTGAAGCACAAGTTGTATATGAGCCTCTGCAAGTCATCCGAACTGAGACCATGCTCATCCCATAGAACATAATAATGTGTGGGCTTGCTTGTCCCAAGGCTTCCGTAGTGGCTACAGAGGTAAAAGTCATACTCAAAAGGATGAACAATTGTTGTGTCCACAACTGTGCCTGGAGACACATTGCCAGTAGATCCCTCATCCCCAGGAAAAAGACGAGTCTGGTGCCGTTTCTGGGCAACAATGAGTGTTATGGTTGGGGTGTAATTGATTGACTTGAATGCCTTCATGATGTCCACTAACTCTTCATTAAGAACCATATCAAACTGGCCCTCACTGACCCCATCACGAAAAATCACAATCTTCTCAGGTTTTGCTTTATTGAGCCGGGAATAACATTCAACAAGCTCCAAGCACATATCACCAAAATTCAGAATCTGCTCTTTACGATGATACTGAGGACGAACTCGAGCTGCATAGCGGTTTGCAGCTGGCCAATTTATAGTACCAACAACAGCTGCAATGGATGGACTACTTTTGTTTTGAGCACCAGGATGATTGACATCAGCCCCAATAAACATGACACGGTTTTCATTCCCAAAGTACGGGAGTCTGCCACTGAGCTCTGCATTGCTTCCTCCAAGCTTAGCATTAATCTTGAGACCAAGATTGGCAAGGTACTGATCCTTTCCTTCATTTGCAGGAGTGGACAAACAACATTGTGTCACAATACCAACTTTGGTTTCAGAAATCCATTTGAGATACTTGTAACCAGGATCCTTCCTTGACATGACACACAGAAGAAATTGCAACTGGCCTCCGCAGCTTTTGTGAGCCTGTTCATTGACTGTTTCAAGTTGTTCACGAAGCACATCAACATTAGAGAACTTCCGCATGCTAGTAGGTTGATAAAAGAGAGGCTCCTCCATGCGAATCCCCAGATTCTGGCATCGAGCAATCAGCTTAGGGATGAATCGGCGCGGATTTAATTGGTCATGATAATCATCAGAGCTGAAGTCAAGAACAGCCCATCGCTCAATTGGTTTCCCTTCAACCACTCCTTTCCCAACAAGATTCCATTGGCACTTCTCCTTGTCAACTGGTATTTTAATCACCCTGCCATCGGGGGCACCTACCTTCAATTCAGGTGGCCCAATCACACGACCCATCAATGAGGTCATATTCTTGCTGACTTCTACTCCAAAATTTCGGATAATCTCTCCACTGCAAACAAAATAATAAACAACATGAGGAACCCATCCTCTACTTTAACCAAGAATATCATATCGCAAGTTACATAACATACCCAGAATGCTTATCATATTTAAGAGTTCTACGCTTGCTTCTGTTATATTATCCACGTGTACCGTACAATAATCCCCCATGTAAAATGATGCAAGCATACCATGCAAAAAAGACACTTCCCAGACTTAAGATTTTAATCTTGACAGAAAATTAGTCATTTCTGAGAGCCTCAGATAGGCAAGACTTGAATATGCATTGTACATTCCTCAGTCAAGAACTATAATATTAATTGTATTCAGGTTGCACATTCCATAAAAACCACATGTTTGAGCAGCAGCTGTATTCACCAGGGTGACATGCCATGATACTAACAATGACACGGTCAACAACCATAAATACATATGATGAGACGATGACACTGCCTGTGACTAAAGAATCCTTGTTGCTTAGAAAAATCCCAACAGGAAAATGAAGCTGTCGTGCAGTTGGATAAAATAACATTACTTTCAGCAGTCTTATCAAATGCTACTGTAACAATCAACACAACATTTAATTAAATATGTAATAGGGAACATACAAAGGATGAAAAAGTTATAAACAAATTGGAAAGCAACAATCAATCAGAAAACCATCTCAATTCATTATTCTTTGTGAAATATCAAAAAACAATCTTAATCTAAAAGCTTAGGCTATTAGATGATGATCCAAGAATGGTTTTATATTACTCTCTAAAACACCCCTCATGTCAAAAAGCTTTTTGGTCTTGAAATTTGCATATACCCGCCATTACTTTGTACTTTTTTTTTATGAATTTTATTAATTAGAATGGGATGGTAATATTCTAACACAAATATTTGGTCGTCAAGGCTCTATTTTTATATCAAAGAACAATCTCAACCTAAAACTTAAACTATTAGGTGAAACTTTTACTATCTAACATGAAGCAAACAGAACACCGGTGAAAAAGATATGAGCTTCAATGATGTATCAGAATGAAAAGGCAACGTGTTGCATATACATACCTACAAGGTCCATCTCCATCCTGCACCATCCTGCATATTGTTCTCTGTCTATCCTTTGGATTTGCTAGTGAGAATTTCTTCAACATCTTGGCTTCAGTTTCCCTCAGATACTCTTTTGGAAATACTTGCCCCTCAACCAAGACACAGAACTCCATTGGTACATAGTTCTTCATCTTGCTTTTCATCTCTAGGCATGGGATATCTTGATGCACTATATCCCTGTGATATTTTTGCCTGAAATATTCAACAAGCCTAACATTCTGGGAAGCCTTGCCATCTGGATCTTCTTGAGGAAATGTAATATATTGAGCATCATCTCTCGTCAACCCTGTAATAACATATTTTTGTTTGGTGACACGGTGAGTCACTCTAACTTTCAGTCCCTTCAGCACACCTTCCACAGCCCTCCGAAACCTTCTAAAATTATTTAAATTAAACCCAGAAATGTGTTTTGTCAAGAATTCTATCACAGAAAGTGGCTCATGAAATGACAGAACAGAATAGTCCAAGCATAAAGCTATGCCTTGGGAGGTCGCTTTGAGGCTATGTTGGCACCCTCTAGATGCTATGATTCCATGCCCAAGGTGAATTTGATGATCTCTAACAGAATGTAAGCTACGGGAAACAGAGATCATTGTCCTAGCTGGGTGCTCCTTCACCACGACATCCATACCTTGCAATATGTCACGAGGTGTTGAGCGAAGTTTCCCGTCCAAGTAATCCTTCAGCTTGTTCAGCTCAAGTTCATTCACAAGCTTTATGGTAAACAGGTAAGAACGTGGTTTGGCATCTTCTGCCTCAGAGACCTGCACTTTAAATGTTCCAGTGGGCAAGGAAACTGCACTGAAAATGTTCTTCTCCCCGTCATAAGCAGTCATAGCATGAGGAAACGAAGAAGGATCATCAGCAAATAACTTATCCCTGATCATTGCTAAATTGGACTTTGAAATTTTCCCAGGCCTGCCATGCTTTGGAAGCACTTCTTGCTTGATATTAACATCATAATGCCGTATGATGCTCTTAGGATTGAACTTGACAAGAAAATGATTTACAAGAAGTCTAGGAGTTTGGACAGCCAGTTTGCCACCTTTATCTGGTCGTAGAACTGGACTAATCCTATTAGCACTGACAGAAGCCAATCCTTTTGGCACATTAGGACCTGCAAAGAAAAGAGAGCTTATCCCATTAATGTTTCCAACATGTGACAAATTCAAAGTATCCAATTGTTGCCATAAAAAATTATTGAATCTTGGAATAGACAGATATTCAGCATCTAGTTGCTCTATCTGCAGTTGCCCTGACTTCATATTCATTTAAGATTGAAAAAAGAAGAAGATACTGTCCCAAAACCAATTTGTTAATAAAGACAATAAAAGGATGAGCATGAAGAAGAAGAAGATATTCCAAAACCAATTTGCTAATAAAGACAATAAAAGGATGAGCATGATTGTTAATAAAGACATTTTTGCGTTAGCTACAGATAATAACTATCTGAACTTAGTTGAACTTTGAATTTCAAGCATAACATCATCCACTAACTATTTTCTAAACCCATGTTGTTAAAAGCAAGACAAGGACAGTAAAAAGTTGCAAAAACTTCTTATCAAAGTCTTGAACACACTATCCAGGAGATTTATCCCCATTTTTTCTAACAATTTAAGGAAAAAAAATTAAAATGACAAAGATCCATGAAATACAAATCACCACACCAAAAAAAAAACACAAGTAGGGCATACTAACTTTTTTGTACAAGTCAATGAAATAGCATTCATCAAAAGCGGAAAGATAAAAGAAAAAATCTAGGCAAAATTCAATGGCCCACTACAGAAGTATAAAGCCCTGGATTGGATATAGTAAGTAAATAATCTTGATTATGATCTGATTTTCTTTCTTCCCGTTTCTCTTAGCGAATCATTAATAAATAAGATTGATGAAGAGAAAATTAAACACAGTTTGAATTGACTGCTATACAGTTCCAAATTTGGCTTACTCCTAAATTGGGGAGCATAGTCAAAATTCAGAATTTTAACCTTTTGCTTTTATGCACCTAAGAAGTATGCAAGTTGTGAATCTTACACGTAAATATTACAACAAAATCAAATTCAAAACATATCTGGAAGCAATGATCAGGTTGTCAACAATTACAGGTCTCAGAAATATAGTATCTCACTGATCGATCATCAACCAATCAAAATTTCATTATGTAACACCCTCATGATATCTTTAAGGATCTTCTTATAAAGTAAAGACTAATATACCCAGCACCAAAGGTAAGAACGCCCAAAAAATGAAAAAAAAATAACAAGAAAATTGATCAAGCATCACTTCATTGCCAGTAGAAAGACACCATTCCAGTTTGGTAATTAACAATAAACAAAGTCCAAAAGACCCAAGTCCGGTACACGACAAGTCATGAATATCACTCCTATTTCATATGCAATGCAAACAAAGTTACTTCATTAAACAAACTAAAAAGAACAAAACCGCAAAACCCAGAAACATAGACCATAAATACAGTCTAAATTTTAACTCTTCCATTTCAACACTCGACATATCCAGAACAACATAAGTTTTAAAGCTCAGAAACAAAAATCCCTTCTTTGTATCCAACTTGAAAAAAATCAACAAAAAGCTTCAACCTTGAACCAAAAAAGACATACTAATTCATCAAACAACAAAAAATATTAACCACGACCATTTCATATTCTTTGCAAATCATCAGCAATCGAACTGAATACACAGAAAGCAATATACTTGATAAACAAAAAAGATGCTTACTAGGTTCAAGATCACCAGAAGAACTAGAACCAGAAGCCCAATTGCTAGATGGACTCACATTAACAGTTCTTGAAGGTCCCTTTCCTCCCCCAGTTTCTGACACCTGGTCTCTCCTTCCTTCTTCACTACCACCACGGACTTCCCAGCCCCTTCTAGGCCCCATTTCAACACTTTGACTGGTTGGAGCACCTCCATGCCGCTCTGAATGTGATCCATCACCCCTTGTGCCCCCTAGTCCACCAACACTTTGACCGGGTGGAGGACCACCACCGCTACCTTGATTGTTTGATCTCCAATGCTGACGTGGATAGCCAGCACGACCAGCGCCATCATACCCGCCAGCGCGACCAGCGCCACCATACCCGCCAGCGCGACCACCATCATACCCGCCACTACGACCATCATCTCTTCCTCCCCTTCCATAACCTCCTCTACCACCACCGTACCTACCACCATGACCACCTCTTCCTCCGCCTCGATAGCCTGCTCTCTCCATTGGATAAATCGGGAGGAACTCGGTAATAAACCGGGTCTGAACACAGTAAACAAGGGAAACTCAAGTGAGATTTTGGAATAAAATGCAAGAAAGTTGCGAGCTTAGGCAGCTTACAGCGAAAAAAATATCGAAATTTGTTAAGAGCTAAGCTTTAAATAGTAGAAGTATTCCCATTTGTTTATAATTTTCATAATTTATAGACTTTTTTACATAAAATTATTTAAATTTAAATTTAAATAGAATAAAATCCAAATAATTAAAACTTAAGAAAAGATCCTAAAATAATTAGAAAAATTAAAAAAAATCCTTGAACAGTCCATTCTAGCCCGGATTTGAATATGCTTTTAAACTTGGATATTGTTGTCTTAAATTTTTTATAAAAAGCATGATATTTAAGATATATTATAACTAGATTCTAATCCAATTCAGTAATTAAATTAAAGATTATAACTATTTTTATAAAAATATCATTTGATTATACAGCGATCATGAACTTTTCAGTAATTTAATGGGCTTGGAATATAATTTAGTAAAGCCAGAGATTGTGCTTTCGGTGAGTTGGGTTTTTATGGTAAATAAAAGGGAATTTACGTGGGATGCAAGGAAAGTGCTCGCTGGTGGGATATCGATAAGAAACTCAAAATATCCTTAGCTGGTAAGTTAAGAGCTTGAAATCTTTTTATATTAACCCAAAAAAATAAATTAATAATGTGTTTTTAGTTGTTTTATATTCTTCATTTTGTTGAGCAAAAAAAAGTAGCTATTATAAGGATAGAGTAGTAATTCACTTTATTTGCCCTTTATGCTCTGAAAACTGCTGAGAGCGTTGACTTGCTTAGCACTCATGGGAAGAAGGGCATAATGATGATAGAAATTTAAGGGGGGGAAAAACAGGGAATTGTCAAGGAAGAATCCAGAAGGTTCGGTGGAAACTAGGAATAAAGTGGGGCCAAGTAGAGGCCGGTTTTAAGGAAAACGTGTTCATGAGAAGACGGAGATACTCATGTGGTTTTGCACAAATATTATCAATAATTAAGTTAACCTTTTCTGATTTTTTGTGTCTTCAATAAATATTGTATTATAGGACAAATTCAGTTATAATCAAGTATCAATAACCATGTAATTAGTGTTAACATTTTATTCTTTATTCTTTAGTTTTGTCATGTTCAATGTAATTTGTTAGCACTTCATTGATATATCTTGTTGATTTTTAATTTAATAAAAAATTTAGATTAATTTGTAACATGGTTAAAAAGATTTAATATTTGTAAGAGAAACCTATCTTTTTCAAAACAAAATGGTTTTGATATATTTTTTAAAATAATTTTTAGAACAATTTATTTTAATATATGACTCGAGTGTTATTCTACATCAATTTATTTAAATTCTAATAATCTTGATGCATGATTATACGAAATGCTTTTTGAATGACTACATGTAATTAACACCAATTAGCTTGGAACTGGGGTTTTTGTTAGATTATTCTAAATTTTGTGGCTGATTTTTCTAAGATGATTGTCATACGAATCTCTTATAAATTAAGTAAGCATCCTGACTTTGGTTCTTGTTTAATCTGTGAAGAGATTCCTTGGTTTTGGATTATAGTATATGAAAGTGTACATTCTGGAGTAATGTGAATACGTTTTTTTACAGGACTTTGATTCCAAGGCAGGAATATTCTATATATAT